TATTCCTACAATGATCCATTTGCATATGTCCGCCTCTCTTTTCCAGAAGGTCTAGCTCAGGTGCCACTTCCTTCAAGAAGCTCTTACTGATTACTTCAGCTAGAAAAAAGTAGCAGTTACCAGAATCTCTCTTCTGACCTCTCCAAAGTACAGCTCAAAGCTGAGATATAGGATAGTATAGCTATACTAATAGTTCTTTGTGCACTTGTCTCTAACCCTCAAAGAGCTTACAATCTAAAAGAAAGTTATGTCCCTTTTTCTCCATCATTGTATCCCACAGTACAATGATCATAGTAGACACTTAATACTTTAATTGAATTTTTGAAAAAAATATCAGAGATATATTACCAATAAATTGGAGTGTTTAGTATTACAAACTTTTTAAATTTCAGGTTTAGATCACAGGTAATTCTGGACCAAAATCAAGTAAGAATATTCTACTTTTCCCATCTACCCATAGTTTATACCAAAACTTCATACTCAAAATCTAGTCACAGCTAAGACATAGGGGAAAGAGAGGCCTCATACGTAGTATAGAGGAATATAGACTAGCCTGCGCAATGGCAAGTGGCCAGCTACTTCTTTAATTTAACCATCTACTTACCCAAGCTATTAAAAAAAAATTAGCTCTCCTTAATGAAGCTTCTAAGAAGTTGCAGTTTCAATTGGGGACAAAAGGTGATGGTGGGAAGCTAGAGGGACCAACCAAGATGGGAAAACATTTTCTTATTTTCTTCCCAAAATGGAGTAAGAAATATGAACAAATACTAAGGCACACAGATATATGATGCCTTCATATCACACTAGCAATACTAAACCCACATGTTCCTAAAACATGTCAAAATTGGGATAACTTTACTATCAAGAGATTTTTTTCGTGTCTTTTTTTTTCTAAAAGCCCAAAACAAAATTTATTCACTATACAATTACCAAGAAAAGTATATTTCTTTACTCTTAAGGCAAAGAAAGGCAAGAAATTTTTATCCTGTTTAAAAAAAATGTTTTCCCAATGGTATACCTCTTAAGTAGTTGCTGATACTGGATACCCACATAAGGCCTACAATACTGACTTAGAAGCCCCAGTGTATCCAAGTCTCCAAGAAGTCATTCCCTTTTCCAATCCAATTCATGCAAACAAAACTCTAGTACCTAGCACCTAATACATAAATGGGCCACTTTTACTACTTGTCTAATTCCTAAGTATCTGAGAAAATTGGTTCTGAGATGGTCTGGTGTCTGACACTTCCACAGAGAAACCAGTCAACGAAAAGCCTCCTGATTTATTTTACTACAAGAGGCCATTCTTGTTTCACTGGTTAGGTAACATTCAATGCCACCTAGTTCACCCTTCAAAATTAAACCAAAGAAAGAGCTTCAACACAAACCACGATACAAGAACTGATGATTTCTTTTTTCATTAGAGAAATTTTAGCAACATTAAAAAAAAGCCACTTTTAATTATTTAGTTGCAAAAGCATAATTACTTTATTTCACAGAATTAAGAGTTTCCAAGTCCATTTCACAACATCACTGTCACCACATAACACTTTTCTTTCTAAAAGCACAACTGAAAATACAGCTGTCATCAACCCTCAACTGCATGTACACACAATTTTGTAAAAGTCAGAAATCTCCAAAATGAAAGTATCTTTTATGAACACAGCTAAGGCTTTTAATTTCCTTTAAAAAAAAAAACCTAAAAATGTGAAGAATGGTATTGTCACAATTTAATTCAACAAATATTTACTGGGCACCTTAATACTCAAGGCACAGTTCCTAGAAATGGTGACAGAAATAACTGACAGTTATACACCTTAAAGTTTACAAAGTTTTTCTCACAAGCACCAAGAGTAAATAGATAGTAAAAATCATTATTATTCTGATTTTACAGATAAGGAAACAGAATTTTAAGCGACTCATTCAGCTATTAAGTATCAAAATTAAGGTTTAAACTCAGATTTACCAACCACAAAGTCAGGCCTCTTTCCTCTATCAAGAGGAGTTCTTAACTTTTTTTGTGTGCCATTTGGCAGTCTGGTGAAAGCTAGAGACACCTCCTCAGAAAAATGTTTTTAAATGCAAAAAAAAAATTACAAAGGAAATAAATTATATTGAAATCACTTCCAAAATATTTTTAAAAACAAGTTGACATCCTCCTGACCTAAAAAGTAAGGCCTAACACTTCCCATAAGGAACTCACAATGTAATAATAAGGGTAAGTTCATTACACAAATAACTAAGGCATAAGGGAGAATGTTAAGCCCATAAGAAAGGTACAAAGTGTCACGGGGTTGTTCTCTGGCAAGAAGATTATTGGCTTAGAAGTCTTCAAATTGCTTAGGAACAGAATGAGTCCCTAAGGACTGGTCACCAAGATTACTTATGTAAATCTGTAAAGCCATGTTGGTTAATTTCAAAAAAAAAAATAATTACACCAGACACAAATTACTTTGATTTAGTGTTTTAGTAAAAAAAATCATATACGAAAACAAAGATGTTCTGTGTCTTTTCGTGGGGGTGGTAATGGGGATTTTACACCCAACTAATTCTGAAGCTATTCATTCTTTAAAATAGTATTAACTTATGAAGGAGACTATTTACAAAGGGTATCCCAAAAGTCTTGGTGCAGTTTCAAACTGCACCAAGACTTTTGGAAAACCTTGTATGTCAAATGGCCAAAAATTTTTCACAACTGGACAAAAATTGCTCCAAAAAATGTACTTTTTGGTCAAGATGCTGGAAAGCATCAACTTAAAGCTAAAACTATACCCCATGAAAACAAGAAGGCAAACTTAAAAAAAAAAAAAATATATATATATATGGTGTCCTGGAATTTGCTGTTGGGAATCTGGGGCTAGGATGAGAGTACGAGTAAGACTGTATCCACCGTAAGAATCCTCTCTACATGACCTCCTCTCTATATGGCCTTTTTAAAGAGGATTTCTTCCAGGCACCTTAAGTTTTCCCCCTCCACTGGCACCAAAAAAAGCTCCTCCGAGTTTGATACTTTAATAGCATGTGAACTCAAAGTTCTAACAACTTTGCCTACAAAGCTGGTCAAAAAAAAAATACCCCCCCAAACCCAAAAGACCCCACCAATGTGCCTTGCGGTGTCCAGGCAGCCCTCAGCCCCTGCTCTCCAGGCCAGGGGCCCGCCGCAGGCAGGCTGAAGCAGCGAATGTGTGCAAGGAAGAGGACGAGTCTGGACCTGCTCTCCCTTCTCCCTCCCCTCCTCCCAAGTTCACAGCCCGCCTCCAGCCCCGCCGTCCGGGTGGTGGCCCCAAGGGGGCTTCTCCACCGTCTACCCCCGTTTCCCATCAATCCAGGAAGCCGGTGGTGTTTACACCCAGTAAACGGGGGACCCCCAAGAGCATTCCTACAAAACTTCTCCCTAGAGCCCAGGCTGGATGTGGAGGACTAAAGGGGTGAGAGGAGCTTGGAGGGCAGGGGAGTGAAGCCTTAGCGAGGAAAGGGAGCACTCCTCCCCACCCCCACCCCCACAAATACCCCTGAGCCCCTCCCACGAGGCCAGGGCGGCCTCTCCAGGGCCAGGGCCACGTTCACGCCCACACACCCCCCACCGCCCCCCGCAGCGGGGAAGGTCAGGAGGACCCTCTTCTCCTCTACTTCCTCCTCCTCCCTCCCTCGAGCAGGCAGCGTGTCCGGGTGCACAGAGCTTAGGAGACCTCGCCCTCCCCGTGCCCCCCCACCCAGCCGGGGAAAGCCCCGGGGGGAGGGCTGCCCAGGGGGCGGGGCCAGCCCCGCCAGCGCCCCCCTCCCGGAAGGGTGAGCGCAGGCGGGGAGGGGGTGTCAGTGTTTACCGAGGGAAGTTCTGGGGCGTGCTCCCTCCTCTCCCCCCCAAGTTAGACACGCTCTCCCAAACTCACACATACACTCCCTCTCACATTTTCACACTCATAATTACACAATCACACACTCATCTCCCCACATTCATCCACACTCGCTCATTCACTCCCTCTCCCATACACACTCGGTCATTCACACTCACTTTTCATAACACACACACACACACACACACACACACACACACTCTCTCTCTCTCGCTCCCCGCCCCTCCCGCGGCGGGGGCAGCAGCGGCGGCTCTCACCTGCATCCCGGGCAGGCCCGGCTGCACGGGAGAGTGAGCCATGGCTGCGCCGCCGCTCCGGATGGGCCAGGCCGGGCCGGGCCCCTTCCCCGCGGCGGCGGCGGCGGCGGCGGCAGGCGGATCGGACGAGGAGCAGGACGGGCGGGAGGCAGCGGCGGCCTGCTCAGCCCGGCACCCCCCACGCTCGTCCCGGCCGGGGCGGCGGGGGTTCGGGGATCAGCGGCTCGTCGCGGGCCGCGCAGTCTCCATGCACGACGGTCGGGCGGTAGCTGTGGCGGCCCGGGCGGCAGCGCCTCCTCCTCTTCTTCCTCCTCCTCCTGGGCTGGCAGAGACGGCGGCGGCGGCGGCGGCTCCTTCCGGGCTCTCCGGGGCGGCCGCGGGACGCTCTGCGACTCCCCACGCACACCCAGCCAGGAGCCGTGTCCGCCCCGCCCAGGGCAGCAGCAGCAGCCCCCGCCCCAGCCTCCGCCTCCTCCTCCTCCTCCTCCTCCTCCTCCTCCCCCCGGCCGGCCCCGGGGTGTGGGACCCCCCCGCCCGGTGTTTCCGGGAGAAGGAGGCGGCCTCCGACAGACAGCCGGCCCCGGCAACCCGAGTCCGCAGCCGCGAGAGCTCCGCACCTTCCGGGGCCTCGGGCGGGGGCGGGCTCTCGGAGGGGAGGAGCCCTCGCGGCCGCCACCGACGCTGATTGGGCCCCGAGAGCGGCCGGGGGAGGGCGGAGAGAGGCTACGCGGCGGCGGGGTCAGCCTACCCCTCCCCCAAGGCTGGGGCGATGGGTGGGGGAGGACAAGGAAATGCGGGGGGAGGGACGTGATCTCGGCGGTCTTGGGTCACCGGGAACTAGGGGGTGGCCGCGAGCGTTAGGCATTCGGTCAACAACCCCTGGGCCAGTTTACCCACGGGGACAGTAACCAAAACTGGCTAGGGAGGAGGAAACAATTCCCCCTTGTCCTCCCCCCCCCTTCCACCTCCTTGTTCATCAGCTGTCACGCTGTTCGTAGTTAGACTAAAAGAAACATTCCCCGTGGAAAGAAATAGTCCTTCCCAGGCCACTCCGAACTAATCCGAGATGGGGGCAGGGGCGAGATGGAGGAAACACAATAGGGAGAGTAGCCAGTGGATGCTTCAACGTTGCGATGGACTTCCCAGCCAGATCAGAAAAGAGAGACACGGGGAAGGGACCTCTAGGGGACTTTGTGTCTGCAAACTCGGTGACCACAGCCGGCACCACGGCTACTGACAAAAAGTGACATTGCTGGATTCCTGCATCCCCGAGCTGTGGAGCCAGGCAAAAGAGTCCACCCACAGGCGTGGGAAGGGAAGTAAATGGGGACGGCAGGGGAAGGGGACTGTAGAGTCGAAGAAAGAAATAATAAGCTCAAACGTCTAGAGCGGCTTAGCAAAGTCTAAAGCACTTTACCCCGAGCAGCCCTGCAAGGAAGGTAACACAGATATGTTACTCCTTTCCCCCATCTTGCGAAGATCTTTCCGTAACTTTCCTTGGTCTGAGCAAAGGGAGCCAGAACTTGTGATGCCAACCCTAATTTCGGTCCTCTACACCACAGTGCCCACAGATACTCTCCTTTTGATCCCATGTAGCCCTCGTTCCTAATTTAACCCACTTTCAGGAGTTTCTGGGGAAGAAAGGAGATGCTGAGTGCTGAATATGGAATTATAGCACCTAGGTTTGAATCTCAGCTAGGGGATTGACTACCTGTATGATCCTGGGTCCTGAATCTGTAAAAAAGGAAATCAGATTAGAGGATTTCTAAAATCCTTTCTAGCTCTAAAACTATGTTCCATTCTTACTCTCAGTCCGCTGGCCCTAAACCATTTAGCCACCTTCTTTTTAATTAAAATGTGAAATAAGCTCTAGCAGCCAACAGTAGTTATGCAAAGGAACTTACTTCCTTCCTTCCTCCCTCTCTCTTTTCCTTCCTTCTTTCCAAAAGTGTATAACCAGTAGGTCCTGAGGCTTCTCTTTGGTCTCACCTTGGTGCAAACAACACAAAAGTTCTGGGATCCTTACTAATCAGAGCCAAAGATTTCCTTTTCTATTTCCGAATGGGTTTCTTACCCTGCAGCAGCACAAAGAGAAATGAGAAGTGGCTTCCCTAATGCTCTAGGTAACCTTGAACAAGTCACAGCCTTTCTGGACCTCAGTGTTTTCATCTGTAAAATGAGGAAATTAGACTTCAGTGATCACTAAGGTCTTTTCTAGCTTACATCCAGGTAAGCTTCTCTTCTCTAGATTCCACTTTCTGCCTAAAATCAAGATCACAGAGTTAGAGCAGGAAGGGACCTCAGAGGCCATCTAACTTAACACCTTCATTTTGCCAACAAGACAACTGAAGCCCAGAAAGGTTAAATTACTTGCTCAACCTAGTTAATGGCAAAGCCTTTGACTCGGAATCCAATGCTCCTTCCACTGTATCAAGCTACTTGGTTAATCCCACAAATGACATTAAATTCATCATCTAATCCCATTTTGTTCCTGATTTGTTATCTTTCAAGAATAAAGGCCAAAGGTGTTTGGGAGTTTGGTATGAAATTGTGACACCAGATCCATAAAGAGAGTCATAAATTGAATTAGTAATGCTGTCTTTGTGGGAGAAAAAAAGCTGTCCCTTTGTTACAAAGTATCTGTTATCAATCAAGTATTTGTAAAGCACTTACTATGTGCCAGGCACTATGTTAGGCCCTGGAAATACAAATACAAAAATTAGAAGCAGGACTAGGTCCTGGGAACATATTACCTGCCTTCAGTCTTACATGAGAGATGACATTTATGTAAATGTACTAGGCAGAATGTAAAAAATGGAAAGATGTCCACAAAGTGGCATCAAAAATCTGATGAGGAAAAGACCAGTTCTAGCTGGGTGGATCAGGAACAGCATAAAGAAAGGTAATACCTGTTTTGGACACTGGTAGATGGGAGGGATTTTAAGAAATTGAGAATTGGGGGTATACATTCCAGGCTCAATGAATGGCATGAATACAAATGAGCAGAGATGCAAAAGAACCGTCCCAGAACAGGAGATGGAGAGTCATCCACTTTGGCTACAATTTAGAGCATGAGAATGAAACTAGGGTGAAATGAAGCTTAAAAATGAAAGTTTCTACCAGATTGAGAAAGGCCACAGAATTCCAAGTTTAGGAGTTCAACTTCATTGGGTAGGACAGAAGAAGCCACTAAAGTGATATCCACAAATTACATCATTAGCTGGAGGTAAGAATGTGTCCCAGCTTTGGGTCATAGTATATCTGCTTCTGAATAGCAGTTTACAACCACCTACAACCAGATAACTTTTCCTGCCTAACATGCTTCTGTCAATATATATGTACTTTCTAAGTCCTAGGTGTTGCCCCCACCAAATACCCCCAGAAATGCAAGTCACAAAGACTCAGTCTTCTTAAGCAGTGGAAAGTGTAGATATCAAGATCAATCAATTATTCAACAAGTATCTTTTTAAGTGCATCTATGTCCCAGTCACTCTATTAGGAATTGGGGTATTAAAGACAAAAATAGAACCATACCTGTTCTCAAGAAGCTTACCAGTAGAATTACTGGTATCTTCACCTGCTGGATAGACAGGCAGAGGTAGATGGATAGATACATGATAGGTAGATAGATAGATAGATAGATAGATTGATAGATACTATGCTAAATACCTCTCTTCTTCCATGAGCTGTTCTCTCAAGTGATTATTATCTCATTTGATCTTCCTGACAGTCCAGTGGTTTGGATAAATAGATACACAGACAAACAAATATGGGAATTAGACTAGATAACCTCTGAAGTCCCTTCTGTAGCTATTATTCTATACTCTAAAAATAGCTGAATATTTTTCTAACCTGAATAGTTGAAAAAAATAGATCATAGCTATTCATTATTTAAATTTCAGTAGATCATAGAATCTCAGTGTTGTAAGGAAACTTCTTGGTCATCTAGTCCAGTGGTGTCAAACTCAAACAGAATGGTACCTGATGATCCCATATTGACTTTGAAAACTATGTTCTTTGAGAACTATGTTCTATTGTATTTTTATTATTTTTCTAAATATTTTCCAATTCCTTTTTCACCATCCAGATTCACAGACATTCAGGAGAATTGCCAACTGGCTATTTTTGACACCTCTGATCTAACTCTTAATTTTACAGATATGGAAAATGAAGTCCAGAAAGGGGTTTGCCTGTCTTTTTTTTTTTTTTGGTTAGGCAATGAGGTTAAGTGACTTGCCCAGGGTTGCGCAGCTAGTGTCATGTGTCTGAGGTCACATTTGAACTCAGGTCCTCTTGAATCCAGGTCCGGTGTTCTATCCACTGCACCACCTAGCTGCCCCTTGCCAGTCTTAAGGTTGCACAGCTATCTGGTTGGAAACTACAAACCAGGTCTTCTAATTCAAAAGCCATTCTTTCCAATACATCCTATCATCCAGACAGCAGAAAGAGTAAAAAAGAAGTGGGGGGATTTAATGGACTTTAAGACTAAATTAACAGACTTTTTTCCTTAACATAATACTTGCCTTTTGTTTGTTTGTTTATTTTTTCTAAGACTCTCAAAGGCATCATATGGGCCATGATCAAATATTTAGTAAGCATGTCTTTGCTCCCCTTCTTCTTCCCCCTGACCCCACCCATAGTACACACATTCTTTGAACTATGTTATATACCTGGTGGGAAGGACAAGTGTAATACAAAGACTTATAGACATGATTTCTGCCTTCAAAGGATTGACACTCAGTTGGTGAGCCAGTACACATACACAAAAAAAACCATAACAATATAAAATATCATATTCCAGGTGCCAAATGAATTGTGTTGACAAGCAGTTTTGGTCATTGCTTCCCCACCAGGGAGCCAGGAAGGACACAACAGTACACTGTGAACACCTGATTGGTGTGTTATGGCTATAATGCCAGTTCTTTTTTGTAGAAGACTGTCAAGTGCATAAAGAGCTTGAAATAATTCAATTAATTTAACAAATACTTATTAAGGAGGGCATCAAAGCATCTGCATCAACAAGAAATATCCCTTTGATGGTAACAGCTCCAACTAAGGTAAGAACTTTGTCTTGTGTGGTTAAAAAAAAAAGAAAGATAAAGATGAAGAGACTGATGGTGATTTTCCTTAGTGACTTGTATTAAAGCCAGAAGTACAACTGTTTCAGGGCAGCTAGGTGGCACAGTGCTGGGTCTGGAGTCAGGTAGACTCATATTCCTGAGTTCAAATCCAGCCTCGGATACTTAATAGCTGTTTGACCCTGGACAAATCGGTTAAGCCTGTTTGCCTCCATTGCTCATTTACAAAATGAGCTGGAGAAGGAAATGGCAAATCACAGCAATTTCTTTGCCGAGAAAACCCCAAATGGGGTCACCAAGGAGTTGGACACGACTGAAATGAGTCAAAAACAAGAACAACACTAACTGTTTTAAGAAGAGGCATAATAAAAATATGTCCACAAACCTGTATCTCTGCTTCTAAAACACTCCAGATCATGAAATCGTGAACATAGGCAGATGTTGGCCATCAGCAAGATTTTCAAGGTGTTGAAGGAGATGAAAGTAATTGGGACCAAGCACCTATTCCAGAAGTTTCAGGATCCTGGGTGGATGGGTGGGTAGGAAGCCCCACCCCAGTTATGTTCAGCTATCGATAAAGATGGCCTTCTCCTTTGAAGAAATGCTTTATAACGCATTGTAATACTTTAGCAATGTGGGATAGGGTAGAAAGGACTTTAACTGGCTTGAGAGTCAGAGGAACTGGGCTCTGGCTATGATTTTAGCTCTGTCATGAACTATGTGATCTTGAACAAGTCACTTCTTCACTCTAGGCCTCAGCATCCTCATCCACAAAATGAAGGTGCTAAACAAGATGATCTCTAAGGTACCTTCCACCTCTTGAAATTCTATTAGTTATTGAGTACTTTTTATCATATGACCAGAGCCTGCTCTGTCATCCAGTGGAAAAGAGAACCTGCACTGGTCAATTTGGGGGTTTCTCTTCTTTCGAATTAGTTGATGATAACAGTGACCCACATTTAATATACATCTGAAAACAAGGAAAGGCAGCAAGGCATAGTGGGTAGAGAGTTGACCTTGAAGACCAAAATATTTGGATTCAAGCCCCACCCCTGAAACCTTCTGGTTACCTAATCTCATAGTATTCTAGGCAATTCTCCAACACTATAAGTTGCAGAGAATGTGCTGACTTGCATTGGTCAGGGGAGTAATCACCTTGGAATTCCTCATACACATAAAATTAAAGATTCAGTCCTTATCTAGAAAATAAGAAAGAACTGGTTCATTATGTAAAAAGGAGGATCAGAGACGTGAAAAGTCTTGAAGGTTGTATAGCTTTAACTACCCATCCTATGCAGGGCAGCTAGATAGTGCAATGGATAGAGTGTCAGGCCTGGAACCAGGAAGACTCATCTTCCTGAGTTCAAATCTGTCCTAAGACACTTACTAGCTATGTGGCCCTGTGTAACGCAAGTCATTAACTCTGCCTCAGTTTCCTCATCTGTAAAATAAGCTGGAGAAGGAAATGGCAAACCACTCTAGTATCTCTGCCAAGAAAACCCCAAATGGGGTCATGAAGAGTCAGAGTAACAACTGAGCTATGCAGGAATCTCCTCTTTGACATCCCTGACATGTGATCTAACCATCCAGCTGCTATTTGGGTATTGCCTGAGACAGGAACCTCACTGCCCCATGCATTCCATTTATAAACACCTCTAATTGTTAGAAAGTATTTTCTAATATAGACTCCCAAATTGGTCCTAATTCTGCCTCTAGAACTGTATAGTCTAACCTTCTTCCACAGAAGTCTTTCCAGAAGGTGATATCAGTTATCATGTCTCCCCTAAGGTTTCCTTTTATGCTAGCTAATTATCCTAGTTCCTGCTAACATTCTTCATATAATATGTTATCCAGACCATTCAGCATCTTGGTGCTCTTACTCCATCTTAAAATTTAATACTTAGAACTGAACACAATATTCTAGGTGTAGTTTGACAGTTTAAAATGAGGCTATTACATCCCTTGTTCTGGATTAACGCTATGAGAAATTGCTTCATCTTATTGGACAGCCATGTCACATTGCTGATTCATACTGAATTTTCAGTAAAATCAGATCTCTAGGTCTTTTTTTTTTCACATTAACTGCATTTAAGTCAAGTTACCTCCATACATAGGATACTATATAATTGATTTCTTTGAACCCAGGCACAGGGCTTTATATTTTTCCTTATGAAATTTCATTCCAAGTGCTATCATTCACAGATGACAATTGTACTAATTGCATCAAAAACCTCCTAATGGAATCCACAATCATTTGAAGGAGGATGGTCTAAACCCTACACTAGAAAATCAAATTGGATGAAAAGCACAATTTGCCCAAATTACAATATCCATCCAGTTGGAAGGGTGGTTCATTGAGTTATCTCATCCATACATATACATTGTATAGCCACTTCAGATGCATAATGAACTGAGTCCAGAACTAAACAGGAAAAAGGGAGGTAGACGGATCACATCCTTAAGAGCATATTAACTCAGCCTTTCAAATTGTTTCCAAAATTTCAGAGTTGGAATGGCCCTCGGATGTTGTAAATGGTATATCACTTTTAGAGTCCAGGCTGGTCTGTGCCACAAAAGCCCCATCCACTTCTTCCAGTGAAACAGCATCTTCAACACAGCACACTGAAAATGCAGATGACCCAAAAGGCAATGGAAAAAATTCATGGTGAGTTGTGAATAAGCATATTATCAACAGTGACTTATGTGAGAATTGGTGTAAAAGCCATTATTCAGGACAAGTATGACCAGAAAAGGAAGGGAGACAGTCATTTTCTAAGGCGGAGGGAATAAAGATAAACCGCCTGAATGCTGCCTTTGTGCCCTGGAATATTAAAAGAACCAGGAGAAAACCTCCAGTGCATAAGCTAGATCTTCTATGGAAGATAATCACACAGGATGAGGTGTAGATGAGTCGCAGGCTGCACCAGGGAACACCCACATTGATAAAATTGTGGATTCATTGAAGTACACAAATAAATTTCATCTTGGTTGTTTCAACCTGTCATTTCAGTTAGTTGAGAACTTTGAATCTTGTCTTCAAAGTTTTAGGCACCACCACCCCCAGCCCTGCTTTTCATCATCTGCAGCTTAAATAAGCAGCACAAATTCTATGTCTTCATTTTAAATTACTGATTAAAAAGTTGAATGTGATATGACCAAGTGGAGAGCACTGCAGCCCACCCTAAGAGACCTCCCTTCAGACTGATATCTTTGGACTAACCAATAAATCTTTCTTTAACACATCCACAAATATATCATGAAAGATTGTCAATGCCTTGCTAAAAATCAAGATGTATTATGTTTTTTGGCATTCTCCTGATCTACCAATCTGGAAAGTAAAAAAATAAAAATAAAAAAGGAAAAAAGGAAAGCTTGGAACGACTTGTTCTTAGTGATCACCTCTCCTTTCCTCTATGTAGTCACAAACCATCTATTTTAATCATTCATTTTAGAATTTTGTTTATCCTTTATTCTGCTGCTGCCTTGCTGTGTGATTTTGGGCAAATCATTGAACCTATCTGCTTCTCAGATTCTCAAGCAATCAAATGTAAAATAGCATTTGTCCTCTACCTTATGTTAAGAGTGGAAGGATAATTGAGACATAGATATACTTTGACTTCTCTGAGGAAAAAATGATATAGGAAAATAAAATGTTATTTTCATTGTGTATGGTAAACACTGGTATGCTCTTATTGCCCTCTCAAAGAGGTAATTACAATAGCTCGTGTGTCAACATAAAGCCAGAAGGAAGAATTTTGAGGGTCTCCATATGGATGACTCATTTCTTTGTCTCCATGGTGACACAACCGACCTTCAAATGGTTTTACTTTATAGACTCTATCCCAAGGGCTAAATTAAAATGCTCACAAAATGGCAATGGTTCTAGCTCTGGTTTTCCAAATGCAACCTTCTGAACTCCACGAAGCGTTCCCATAACTAGGGAGGTAATGGTATAGTGGAAAGAGACTCAGCCTTGGGACCAGAAATGAGGAGTTTACCATTTTCCATCTGTTTTACTACAGCCAGGTCTCATCTTCTCTGAACTTCAGCTGCCTCATTTACAAAATGAGGATAATAATTCCTGTATTTCTTTCTTTTGGGGGTGGTGCTATATAAGTGGGAGTAATGGTTATTTCCCTAGAATGAGTACCATTGAGTATAGACTTCTACTTCCTGACCTCAATTTTTCCATTTGAACAGCTATGCTGTCTCAGGAGCGCTCTGAGGAGCCTCTTTACCTTTTTATTTGAAAAGGTAAACACTCCAAATGCCACAATATAAGGAAGAGTAAAACAAGCACAGCATTAGAAATTGAGATTCCTGGATTAAAAAGATGGCTTTACAAGAGAGAATTTTTCTGGAGCTCGAAGTGGGTAGCTGGGATAGATAACTTGGACAAGTAACTAACAGAAGGCCTAACAAATCTCTACACATGCTTAAAAGGTGCAGTCATAAAAGAAGGTTAAGTAATTTACTCTCATATAAAGTAACATGACTAGACAAAAATGAGGTGACATAAGGGGAAGAATATGTAAGCAGAAAAACCTAGAAAAATACCCCTAATATATAGAGGAATGACCAATGCCTTACAGCATCTGAAGAAAGTTCCAGGCTGTGGTTTTGAGGCACAGAGAGCAGTTGTTAGCAGGCTTGCCAACTATGGGTCAGATGAGCTCTTCCCCATTCACTCTTCAGCAGTGCCTGAGTGGCCCTGTTATTCAGGGCCTCTGGGGCACAGAGATTCTTGCATTTCAGTGGTGAATGGGGAAGCTTCTCTTGACTGAGTCCTCTCTGCCAGGAGCAGGAAACCCTCTTTGTTCACTTCCTTGGGTGTATAGTTCTCAAGCCTTATCTCCTAGAATATGTAACCAGCACCAAGGCCTCCAGTGCAGGAATCCAGAGACCACTGATAGCAAAGGGCAGGCACAACTGGGTGGTTTCTTGATAACATGTTTCTGACTAGGAGAAAACACCCAGGCCCATGGCAATATCTGTCAAAAATAAGTTATATTGTTTGTAGGGAGGCTTTCTTTTGATTCTAATAAATATTCCTTTCAGCCAAAAGGCTGAAAACATTTCCTCTGTTGGAAAAAGGTCTGTTTCTAGGGTACCACTCAATGCCACCCCCTCCCCAAGCCTTTCATCCTCAAACTTTACTATACTTGAAGAACATGTGATTTTTAACTCCAGATACTCTGATTTTGGGCAAGGTATAACCTCATTCTGGATCTCAGTTCCCTCATGTATGCAATGAGGGGTTTGTACTAAATGATCTGTAAGAGACATTTCTAGCTCTAATTTCTGTGTTTGGGACTCCAGACTCCCATTTAGTCAGCACCAGTGAACTGAACACTCCAAAAGACAAAACTTTTTTTTATAAGCTTTGCAGTCTATGAACGACAGTTCTTGGGGTTCACAATAGTAAGCTCGAAAGGTTCATCGGAGCATGTTCACAATTGAAATCCTCATTAGCAGTCCTGCTTGGCAGATAGCCAATTAACAGGGCTGCTGATTACCTACCAGACCATCACCATTTGACCTCAGCTAAAATCAAAAAGCCCCCAAGCATGGAAGGGCTCAACCCCTATGACTTACGAATGAGTGAAGATATCCAACATTGTTTTCAATATGAGACTGTATTGGCAAAGGGCAGAAATGAAGCACTGCTTATGAAGAAGACACTATCCCAGGTCACAGTCATATAACTGCAGAAACCAAGTCTTAGGTGCCATTAGGTCTGTTTTCAGATAAGAAGTGGCAGCTTGGGGGAATGATATTTCTTCACTTTATATAGGCCTGGGCTCTGTATTTAACTTTATACAGACTTGGCAATGTATTTAAGGTAGGCAATATAGTACATAAGGCCAAAATCTGACAGTGAATTACAGCACTCAGAGTTGCAGAAAGAGGCTTATATTTGAAGTCAGGGGACCTGAATTCTGACACTTACTAGCTGCGTGACCTTTGACAACTCATTTAATCTCTTTCTACAGGGGTGTGCTAGAGCTAGCTTACGCTGACTCTAGTTGTTAAATTTTCAACATGAGCATTTACATCTTAGAAGCTGGAGAAAACTAAAAACGAAGGCTTGATTTATTGTTTTGTTGGTTGTCTAGACTTGGGAAAGTGATGGACAAAATATTAATGATTCAAATTAAAGTATGTTATGAGTACACTTTTTTCAGACTTAATTGTTACACATTTATCACCACACACCTGTCTCTAGCCCTATAAGATGAATGAGTTCGGTTAGATGACCTCTGAGGTCTTTTCCAACTGATCTTATTAAATATGGTACATGATGAGATCTTTTTTTTAAGAATGATCATTAAAAATAAAGAAAGAAAGAAAGAATGACCATTAAAATAAATATTGCCTACTATCAACTCCTAACCTAGGGGAGACCATTTATGCTCTGCTTCCTCTTTCTAGTCCCTAGTGATTTGGTGTCCATGAGAATTTATACCAATGGGGACTGCTGAATGCTTTTGTTATATGTAAAAACCATATGGGTCCTTTTAGCCCAGCATCAAGAGGAGCACGCTCTGAGATGGCATTAGAAAATCAGCTCAAAAGTCAAGTAACCTTGGTTCTTCTTGTTCAGTTGTTTCAGTGATGTCCAACTCTTTGTGAACCCAATTGGGGTTTTCTTGGCAAAGATACTAGAGTGGTTTGCCATTTCCTTCTCCAGCTCATTTTACAGATGAGGAACTGGGGCAAATAAGGTTAAGTGACTTGCCCAGGGTCACAGCCACTTAAGTGTTTGAGGACAGATTTAAACTCAAGAACATGAGTCTTCCTGATTCCAAGCCCAGTGCTCTATCTACTGAGCCACCTAGTAATTTGGAAAGGCAATAGAACAAGACTGAAACAGAAAGAGTACACCTGAACTAACTGCAGTGATATAACAGATATAGTAGAAAATACCAAGACCAGCTACTGGACCATATATTCTAAATAAGTCTGCATGATCCCAGAGTGCATCTGAATAAGTCTTCAGTGTAGTAATATTGTAGTTAAAAGAAAGAAGGAAGCATGACCTCAGAGTACATCTAAATTAGTCTGCAGTGTAGTAATATAGTTAAAAGAAATAAGGAAACATGATCCCAGAGTGCATTTAAACAGGAGCAGAGCATGGCGAGTCATGAAGTAATTGTCTTAATCCCAAATTCAAAACTTCTGGATCTTTATCAGGGAATGGAATCTCATTCTGTGCTACACAATCAATCACAGAAGTGAAGAACTTGGAAGAGGTTCAGAGGCATAGTGAATAAGGAATTAGAAAATAAACCTTTTAGGAAAGGAGAAGCATCATGGTAGAATGAATAGAGGGGAGGTGGGAAAAAAAGACAAGAGCAGAAAAGGGAAGCCGTGAAAAGGGAAGAAGAAGCAAATTCTGGAGAGTTTTACCCCCGATCTTGGGGGCAAAGAGGAATTGGCACAAAATGATAGAAAATCTTAAAGTCTCACCTTTTCTGGAGAAATTCCATGGACTAAGGTATGGAACTGGGGAGAGCCGCAGGAACGGCTGGAAGCTAGAGAAAGATAAAACACCTCCTGTTCCATAGTCTTCACTGTATTGATAAAAGTTGAGATAAGCCCTTGATGTCAACACTTGGGCGTGTGTTTGGGGAGAGCAGGTCTACAAGAAGAACCTTCCTATTTGGGATGATATATGTAGCTGAAGAACTAAATAAATCTTGCAAACTAATGGATGCTCACTCAATAGTCTGTTTTCTTTCTACTTTTTGTACAACTTTATTGGATGTAATTGGAAGTAGGCACATCTGACAACTATAGTTAGGGGGAAGAATTCTTAACCAAACAGGTTAATGAGGAGATCAAGAAGAATAAAATGAACAATTCTAGTTAAATGAAATTGAAAAGCTTTTGCACAAAGTCAATGAAGCTAGGATAACAAGCAAAAATCTTTGCATCAAATATCTCTGATGAAGGTCTGCTAACCAAGATATATATTAACACAAATACAAAAGATGCCCCAATTCACAAAGGGTCAAAGTATATGAAGAAACATATAAAGACTGCTCCAAATCACTAATAATAAGAGAAATATAAATTAAAACAACTCTGAGGTTTCACCTCATCCTCAACAAATTGTCAAAAGTGACAAAAGATGGGAATTTTTAATGTTGGATGAACTGCAAGACAAAAGGCATACGTATATACTGATGTTGGAGCTGAGATTTGATCTAATCATGCTGGAAAATAATTTGGATTTTTGCTAAAACAAAAAGTGACTAAAATGTTCATTGTCGTGAAGGACTTTAAATGCCAAACTGAGGAGCTTGTATTTGATCCTAGAGACAATAGGGAGCCAATGGCGTTTATTGAGTAGGATAGTGATATGATTATCTGAAAATCACTCACAGCTGTGATGAGGATGGATTGGAAAGAAAAAGTTGCTTCAGGCTGGAAATACAATTAAGAGGCTATTAAGATCATCCAAGCAAAGAAGTATCTGATCTGGAGTGGTATCAGGGTAGTGATTTAGAGAAGGGAGGTGTCTGATATGAGATAAAGTATGGAAGTAGAATTGACAGGACATATTAATGTGACTCCACCTAAGTGACTGGAAGGATGACCCTTACCTAGATAAGGAAATTCAAGGGTTTGGTGAGGAAGATAATAAGTTCTGTTTTGAACATGTTAAATCTGAGATGTCTATGAGATACCCAATTTGGAATGTGCAATAGGCAGTTGGTGATATGGGACTCAGGAGAAAGTAATTTAGCAGAGACTGAATGCTGAATAATTTTAATGACCTATCTTAACATAAGAGAAGAGATAAGCAAATGCAACTCCCTCCTTTTTGGAAAGTTAAGGGACTATAGATAATGGATATTACAAGTTCTTTCAGATGTATTGGCTGTTTTTGAATAACTGTTTTTCTTCACTTAGGAAAGAACACTTCCTGTGTAGGGAAGGTGGGAGAAACATACCTGGAAATGACTGTGTTGTAAAAACAAAAGGAATGACTGGAAACAAAACCCAACCCAATCCTTGATTCTGTAATAGTGGGAACTGTACTTGAAGGTTGCAAGCTGATCTCAGTACATTGGAGGGAGGGTGCATGGAAGTAGAGAGGGCCATATAAAGAGATTCTCAGATTTCCTGAGGGAGGACGCAAGAGGCAAGGAGAAGTATATAAAGTATACTTGCTTCCTTTTGTTATCGTGAATCTCTGACATTAGAATTGTATTAGTAAATATTATATTGATGGATTGGAGAAGAAAAGTTTGAGGAGTAGTTTCTAAGTATTTAAAAGACTACAATGTAACCTAGAAAATGCTAATCACTTGTTTTATATCTCTATTCAGTCCAAAACAAAAGGGAAGAGGACTTAGTTCTATACTAGACAAGAAAAAGAATTTCCTGACAGTGAGAATTGTTAAAAAGGGAAACACTGTAGAATCTCTTTCCCTGAAGGCCTTTTAAAAATAGAATAGATTTTCTTTCCCCTGTCTGGTATGGTTTGAGTATGTTCATTCCTAAAGAAGGAGGACATGAATCAGGAGACCTTCCAGGGTTATTTATTTTCAGGTTTAATATTCTTCAACCTGGGAAGGGTAGGAAGAGTCTTTTAGAAAGTGGTAATGGTTTAGATGGGAAAAGGACAATATTGTTGAATGTACTTCAATGACTCCTGGCCATAAATAGTTTACAGTGGGTCTGCTCACCTCACTGAAGACCTTCTAGATCTCCTGCAATTGTTTGGATACCGATGGATGTCCATCATTTACATGGGCATGACTAGCCCTTTTCCCTTCCCAGAGATGCAGTTCTTTAATGCCATCCTTTACACTATTTATCCCATGTAGTTCTCCATTGGAAATAGGTTGTAGCCCAGCCACACCTACCATGATGAATATAATAAAAAAAAAAACTTCACAGATTTGTAATCATATCCATTTGAATATTCCCTCTAATGGTACAGAGAGCAATGACTATTCATCCTGCATGATTTTTCTGACATATTTTCATAAGTGTTAACAGCCAAATTAAAATGTATTATTTTATTTGTTGTGATTTTTAGCATCCCCCATCCACTGTTACTATCATTACAAATACTGAAGTAGGTTACACAGAAGTAAGGGCTACTTTGTGCTTCTCTTTGTTTTGTAGGTTGCCATGAACAAGAAATTCATCATTAAGTGACTGCCTTATCATGGATGAGCCTCTCCATACTTCAGTTAGATGGACCTGAGAAAACTGCCACAGTCTGTTACTGGGACAATACGCAAAACCTTTCCAGCATAACGCAACCTTTCAATGCTTATACTCTATTGGCAAAGCCATCAGGAATCAAACATCACCTCTACACCATGACAGAGTAGAATTGGAGTAGGATTTTGCAGAGCACTAACATAGAATATGTGGAATTCTTATCAGCTTAACAATTTTGGAAGCTATTTGTTAACTAATTTGCTTTTATTTTTGTACATAACAATGGGTCATCTGAAGTGCTTCCTGTTTCTGGGAATCTGTCTCATTCTGGGCCAAATATAGACATATTGATCCAAAAAGGGGTAAAGACTAGAAGGTTTTCCAATATATCCAATTTGGTCCCATATCATTAATTTCACCCTAGAAAATTTACCTTGTGCAATTAGGTAGACGATTGGTTTACAAATGGCTCATAATAGTATCCTGGTATCCACATATATTGTAAGGTTGGACTAAAGTCTAAAATCATTGAATTTCAGATCTTAGATATAGTCTCACCCCCAGAGAGGAAAATAAGACCCAAAAAGTTAGTTATTTACTTTATCCTTTTCATTGTGTAACCACTAGGTGGTGCTAATAGTTATTCTGCACTGGGGAGTCCCACACTCACCCTAGTATTTTGTATATACCCTACTGGGGCAAAAGTGCTGAATTATTGTTACATTATTTATGTAACCAGCTCTGCCTCTCTTTATGGAGCAGTGCTTCTCGTTGTCCAGAGTAGTGTGGACTTGATTATCTACCTAATCAATATTAGCTGTGAGCCCCCATCTGCTGTATTAACCCCAACCTCCCTGTGAATGTGCTATATATTCTATTAACACTAGTTACATGACCTGCACATGATGAAACTGGCAAAGAGGCTACTGTTTTTTCTCTTAGCTTAGAATCAATAAGTAAATACACAGTATATAATTACTAAAACATAATGCATAATAAAGCATATAAATACCTACAGATCAGTAGCAAGCTTTGCCACTCCTCTAGAAGGTCTCTGCCCTTAAACATATGATTGATTGGGACCCAAAAGTTCTAGGATGTACACTGATGGAGTCCTTCTTGAGTAGTCAAAAAAGTGCAATAACAGTTCCCTAGGGATGTTTGACACACAGACACCACAAAGGACTAGTTGTCAGTTACAAATGCAGGAATTCTAGAGTCAGAAACAGCTCATACACAGCATGGGAGCCAAAAGACAGAACCTGGTGCAAATAAAGACTCAGGAGGGTTGTTGGTTTTTCTGGTCTCTGGAGGGGTCCTCCATCTCAAGCCATGTCTGGTGGAATCTGTAGCCAACTTGGGCAAGGGGCAGGGCCACTGTTGTTCTTATACTACTTTTCTCTTGAGAACAGGACCACTTCTCTCTGCTGATGCTATCTGTCCTTTATAATCACTTCCTGTCATCAACTGTAATCCCAGTCTGAGTCAATACCACTGGGGAAGGCACAGAAAGAGTAAGAATGAAAGAGCATTTCATTAACAGATTTAGTTGTTTCTATCACGCATCCCTTTCTGACATAATCTTAGCTCCCTCTTTGCAATTTGGGATTCGGTCAGGGGATCTTATGTAATTGCTGCACCCTACAAGGACTTTAGAGTGGAAAAAGACCTGTAAATATGGCTATATTTAGAAAGTTCAGTTCAGCCATTTTTCAATCATGTCCAATTCTTCTTGACCCCATTTGGGGTTTTCTTGGCAAGGATACTGGAGTGGTTTGCCATTTCCTTCTGCAGCTCATTTTACAGATGAGGAAACTGAGGCAAACAAGGTTAAGTGACTTGCCTAGGGTCACGCAGGTAGCAAGTATCTGAGGCTGGATTTGAACTCAGGAGGATGTCTCCCTGACTTCAGACCTAGCACTCTCTCCATTGTGCCATTTTGTGGGATTCATTCATCGATTCAACAAATATTTATTCATTTTCTATGTGCAAGATATTGAGCTTGGTACTGTAGGGAATATAAAAATCTTCCTTTATCCTCCTTCCCTCTGGGATCTCATGTAGTCTCCCCTCTCTTTTTATAACTCTCTAATTTACTTATTGCAGAATGCCGGTAGTTATTTGAAGTAAAAGAGACTTGGGTTCAAATCTTGGCTCCAATAAAAACTATCCATGGGACCATGGGCAAGTCAAGTTACTGCTATGAGTCCCAATTTCTTCACCTGTAAATTGGGATGAATCATGCCTTTATTAAGTTCCTCACAGAGTTGTATTAAAGATTAAATGAGATAGAGCAAATAAAATGTTTTACAAACATTAAAGGGCTACGTAAAAGTCAAGGAAGGGTAGCTAGGTGGCTAAGTGGATAGAGTGCTGATCCTGGAGTCAGAAAGACTCATCTTCTGGAGTTCGAATCTGGCCTCAGACACTTACTAGCTGTATGACCCTGGTCAAGTCATTTAACCTTGTTTTCCTCAGTTTCCTTATCTATAAAATGAGCTAGAGAAGGAAATGGCAAACCACTTCAATATCTTTGCCAAGAAAATCCTGAATGGGATTGGACTGGACTTATGAAGAGTTGGACACAACTGAAAACAACTGAACAACAACAAAATGTCAAGGATAATGGTAGTGAAGAGGAGGAGAGGAAGCAGCTTAGCATAGTGGGGAGAGAGATGACCTCACACCCTGGAAGACCTGGATTCAATTCTCACTTCTAACCAATACTGGCTATGTGACTCTGGGCAAGTCATTTTATTTTTTAAGCATTTGGAGTTAAGTGACTTGTCCAGGGTCACACAGCTAGTACATGTCAAGTGTTTGGTCTGAGGTCTGATTTGAATTCAGGTCCTCTTGACTTCAGGGCTTGTGCTCTATCCACTGTGTCACCTAGCTGCCCCCACAAGTCACTTCTTAACCTCTCTGTAATCTAGTTCTCCAAGTTGTAGAGAAGGTGCTGACCTAATTTTGTAGTGGGAGTTTCCTCACCAGGAAGTCACCCAGTTCTAGTCACTATCCCTATCTACTTATGAGGATAGGGACCGTGCTTTGTCTAAAATCTGCATCTCTCTCAATTCAGAGCACAAAAATAGATGCTTAATGAAGTACAGTAGCCATTTCATCTCTTTTCCTGTTAATAATTTTGCAAACTAGTTTATAAAAATAAATTTCAATTAAATAATAAAAATTAAATAAATAATAAAAATTTAAATAAGCAATAAAATTTAAATAAATAAATAAATCTGCTTGAAGCAGGTGATGAGAATCTAATATCACTTGACAGTTGCCTTTATCCCCTTTATTCAAATCAGGATTTGTTGGGGGTTTTTTGTTTAAAGTGATTCCAATAGTAATTAAGGTTGCTAAATTACTTTGCAATGCCTTTCCTATAAAACCTTACAGTGCTTCTCCCATAAAACCTTATAGTGCCTGCTGGTAAGAATTTATAATCCACATAAATAATTGTACTTTTCCATCTCATGTTGAACAACTTCCTGGATGTTTGCCATTTCACAGACAAAATTTATTTCAGTAGATTAAGGGGATAATAAATGGATTAAAGGATATTTGTAAAAAATTCATGGCTACTCAGAACAGGGCCATTGCAATAAGGGCTGCTAAGATATCCAAGGGGGTGAGCCTTGCTCTTAAGCTTTTTAATGGTGAAAAGAGCAAAGGCCCTTTCTTCACTGGGACTCCTTAAGGCTCTAACCTTATTTATGGGATCAAAAAAAGAGGTGAGATACAGAGAACAACAGAGAGGAGCTAAGAATTCTATCTCCGCAGATTGGGAAGCTGGAAGAAGTATGCTTTGGACAGGTTTAGGTAGGGTGGTCAAGTTATGAGAAAGAACTCTAAGATTTGTGCTTGAAATACTGGGAAGATTTTGCCATTGGTAATTGCTTTGCAGATTAGAAAAAATTATCTTTAAAGACAAGAAGAACACTCAGTAGAAGATTATTACCTATTACCTCTTCCCTGCATAATTGGTGAGGTTGAAAAGAAATCTAGACAAGGGATGTTCTGAAGAACAAGTTGACTACCAAAATCTACCCATTTCTCATCATCTGTATTCTGGAACTTAGATAACCAAGGCTGCATTTTCTTAATTGTAGCATTAAGAATACACTTTGGTCCGCCTTCATAGTTTCTAGCCAAGACTAACTCTTATGGCAAAAATTAGCCAAGAATGGATGAATACAGAGGCACAGTAGATAGAGCATGGGCCCTGGAGTTAGGAGGACCTGAGTCCAAATCCCATTTCAGACACTTGACACTTGATAGCTGTGTGGGCCTGGGTAAGTCCCTTAACCCTGATTGCCTTGTTAAAAAAAGAAAGATAACAACAACAACAACAAACCCATAAATACAGATCAACATGTCAGTCACTCAGTATTAATCAATAAACATTTATTAAGCACATACTATGTGCCAGGCCCTGTGCTAAGCGCTGGGGTTACAAAAACAGACAAAAGACAGTCACCGCTCTCAAGGAGCTTGCAAGCTAATGTATGTTCTTACTTGTATTGTAAATTCTCATATACATCTGGATGGAAACTGTTGAGACAAGTTTTAAATCATTATTCCATTAGTAATTTAGTGGAACTGTCTCAAATCATTGAAAACATGGTAATATGTTGAATCATGGAAAAAAGATAGAACTTAGTAGCCAATTTCATCCAAAAATCTGCTTCAGGGTATCCTTGCTTTGTATCTCTTTTCAGCTTGACCATTTAATTCAAGATAATTTGGTACCATGGTGACAACTCAGATAACAGTCCTGTTAAGAAATCCACAGATTCATTAAGTTCTACTGAAGTAAATATATACTGATTGTCTAAAATGGATGCTATTGCAAGTCCTAATGTTGCAAAAAACCAGCAAAGAACTCCGACTTGTCCATTTCTCAAAAAGTACCATAAAAAGGCTTCATCATGAATGCTTCATGCAAAACAGACCAAAAACATACTGTCTAAGAAACCCACTGAATTTTAGCTTTGATCCAGATGGCGCAGCCTGCATTATATGTGTCAATATCTTCATCAGGCTGTTCGGTTCCCTTTAATAAGCATTTTAAAAAACGACTACTATTACCGGGTACTGTGCTAGGCTGTAGGATACAGAGACAAAAAATGGAACAATCCCTGCCCTTAAGATGTTTACATGCTGGGAAGAGGGTGGGGGAAGGGTAGATGAGTGAAGGAAACAATATGTACATGAAACATGACATACAAAATACATGCAAAATAATTTTTAGTGGAACTGCATTAGCAACTGGGA